CCCAAAGACCACCCACTTTGGATGTTATCATCCATGAAATAGACGTTATTAAGCGTTATCAGTCCCCTGGAATGGCTTCAGAATGTCCCGCCTGTGCCGGTTAGCAAGTTCCCCGTCCCATAGAATGGCTCCCGATCGTCAGCTGGTTAATATGAGGGATCAAGCCACTATCTGGTTAACATGAGGTATAGAAGAACTGCTTAATATGAGGCTTAAAGCCGCTAAGGTTAACTTTAGAGCAAATGACATGGTTAGCACTAAAGACACCGCCCTCCAATGGTTGTATATTGTGGCCTTCCAATTGGACAATAGGTAGAGTGTCAGACCAGAGAGCGGGAGACCAGACAGCATAYATAAAGAAAACCAAAGAGTACCTACAATGGATCCATGAGGTACACCACAACAGGAGCTGAAGAGTAAGTAGGTCTTCTTGGATACAGAAAAAAGTATTTTTGTACAAAAAAGTTCTAAAAAACAGCATAAAGCAACCACATGTTCAAGTCTGGAAGGAACAAAGTTTTGATATTTTTTAGCAAAGGCAGTAATTAAATAAATAATAACAACGTTGAAAAGCTTTGTGGTGCTTTGATGAGATTGAAAACTCATCATAGCAGGGTTTATATAGGCAGTATTGTTTTTAATAGAAATTTTGTATTTTAGATCAAAACTTTATTTAGAACCTTTTTCCAGACTGCAGCTCTGCACAATAGTGTTTCTAAAGTATTGAAGCTCTCTCATTAAAAATTCMTTTGGTAACTGAAATAACACAAAAATCTTGAATAATTGGAGGTTGAAGGTTACAAAGAATCCCCCACAGACCTCATAAAAACAGCTTTAAGCTTCACTAATTATTCCCCTTTATTGTATGAACAGTGAAAATGACTTGAGGAACAAGCACAGCTTCCTCTGGCCCTTCTCCAGGTTTATAACAATCACCAGCTCCAGCTAAACAACTACAGGCTGCAGCAATCAATAAAAAGCATCTTCCTGAATAAAGAACATTCTCCATTATCAACAGTAAGGATTTTGAACAGCCCAGTCACGGTTGAATGGCTTGATTTAAATGCATTGGATGCAGAATGACACCCAATTTTACAGCTGGTCAAAGTAATCTGTAATCCTTGGTAATAGTCTCCAGAAAAAGAAAGAAAAAAAGATTAAATGAATTACACAAAACAAACCAGAGAATAAAATAAGAGCCATTATTCAACCTTGGCTAAGTAAGCATTTTTTCAGAGTGGCATATCACAGTGTTTACTGTGCTCCATCAAWTTTTGTTTGTTTTCCTTTTGCCTTGTGTGTCGTTGTAAGGGAGACATCAACCTAAATAAGAGAAAATCTTGACACATATGGTTGCATTTTAGGTTTAAAAGACACTTTTTTACCAAAATCTGCACACACATATTGGCTTCTAAGAATGAATAATTCTTATAATTTACAAAATAAAGGAGGAAATACATTCAAAAAACACATTTTTTCAAGATGATGTTTTTCAGACTTCAGATAAAAAATGACAAAAAATGAGTGTGATTTGCAAGCTTGAGCACCATTTAATGTCAGTACTTAACCTTTTTGCAAGTGTTATATTTTTATGAATAGTACTTTTATCAAAGATATTTTTTCTTTTACAGAAATACCTTTTTGTTTCTTAAAGAAACACCAACTTGACCTCCACCGCTCCTCTTGACTGCCACTCATCTTTTATATAATTCTTTATCATCAAGAGTTATTTTCCATTAGCTTTCTTATAATTTAAGGACTTCACTTATTTGCAATGTCCTCAAAAAATGCATTGTACTTGCTGATTGGGTAAAAAAAAATTCTGTGTATTTATAGAGCTCTGGAATTTAAATTACCGGATTTTTTCTAACCAAGGTTGTGAGCTTTTTATCGTCCCATTTATAGAATTTGTGTTTGACAAATTGGTGCAGTTTAGTTGAACTCTTTTGYTTAAAATGTTGGAAATAATATTTCAACTTCAGACTGCTGAACACATACACAAGTTTATATATCTTGCCCGGCAACAAGAAGTGCTGAAATTGTTGCATACCACAGAAGACTCAAGGAAAACTTTAAACCTTCAAATTCATGAATGGTAACGCGGATAAACACTGTTTGATTAAAAAATATTTTTGAAAGTTTGTGGCAGAGAAAATTATTCTCCACTGAAAAAGAAATGCCGACTGAAACATTGGACAGCTTGGGTTTATTTGAGCAATCATAATACAGGTTCACATAGTTTGGACAGTTTTGAAAGCTGAGGGAAACAAACATGTTATTTTTATAGTTATAAATGGTAAATGTTTGAACACTTTTTAACCAGACATATTTACTAATCTAAATGCATTCTGTCCTGAGCTAAGCTGTGAGACTGATAAGGTTTAACTATAATGTGTTTTGTCAATCACAGAACAACAGTCTGAGTAACGTAATGTTGGATTATTTTCACCTAATTAAACAACAGTGATGGTAGGTTTACAGTAGAGCTGAGAGGATAATAGCTGTTGCACATCAGGGAGTTTTATGGGGGGAAAAACTGCAGTATTTAAGGTCAAATACAATCCAAACTAGACATGGGTTTTTTACGATGTAAAAACAAGTGTGCATTGCCTTGTAGCATGTCATTGCCAGCAACAATGGACTTGCAGAATGAACTGAACAAGTTCAAATTTTTTTTCTGATCAAGTACCAGCTTGTGGCTGTCAGCAGGTGTTTGTAATGAGGGTAATTGTGTGAAAATAT